CACACGCTCCTGCTGCCCTCGCCGGCACCCTGTGCTGCTCATCCCCACTCTGCCAGTCCCTGCCTGTGTCCCCCCCGAGGTCACGTCTGTGGGAGAGCACGTCCTGGCGCAGACCCTCGCACGCCACTTGTATTTCTGCGCAGAGTGGCAGCGGTGCCAGGTGACCTACTTAGGCTGCAGTGCAGCCCCGTCCCAGCCCCGTTATCTGGGGGAAGTTTATTGTATTTGCTAATGAGGCCCCGCGCTCGGATGGGCCTTTTGCTTTCCCACGTACCCGGCCGTTGCTGCACAGCCCCGGACACCGTTCCCAGCCCTTGGAAAGCCATGGGGGGAGGGAAGGGATGCTTCCTCCTACCGAGTGAGGGAAGCCTCAGCTGGCCTCTGAAAACGCCGTGCAAATTAATCCATGCTGCTCAGTGGTACAGTGTCTTAATTCATATTGGATTTAGTTTCCATAAATTGCTAAACTAGTTGTTTCTGGGGACAATGTGGCATTGTCCCCGACAGTGGAGTACACAAATGTTCGGGTGATTTTCTTTTGTGTATGTTTTTATCAGTTCGGTGCAGGCATGAACCCATCAACATGCACTTCATTATTCAGTGTTCACTGGGAGAAAGGAGCCCGTGAATGTAAATTGCATGTTAGACACCCGTTAGGTTACAATGGGAGACGTGTCCTCCCCACCGACATACTTCTTTATTTTATTTTTACAGCTAGCAATTCATTGTACATTTCTGAAGTCATAAATTTTGCCTGAAAGCTTCTTTTAAAAGTGACTCGATGCATTTAATCAGAGCAGGGTCCTTATCTCGGCCGTGCAATGTGGTGATGTCTTAGCGAAGTGATACCTCGGCCTGAATACATTTGTGTGCAGAGCAATCTGGCGGGAGGAGGAAAGCAGCTTTGTGCTACACCCAGCCAAAAATACCACCTCCAAGGTGGCTGTGGGGATGAATGTCACCAGGGGAGGTGGCTGCACTGGACACGTGTCCGAGCGGCCACGGCCTGGGGCTGACCCCTTCACCCATCCTCCCTGAGTCCGTCTGTCTGTCTGGCCACAGCACCGACGCGGCCGTCCCCATCTCTCCTCCCCAGAACCAGGCAGAAGCCCACTATAAGGGCCACAAGCACGCGCGGAGGCTGAAAGCCATCGAGGCCACGAAGAACAAGCAGAAGACGGCAGGGGCTGCGGCGGCGGCGCCCACCCCGGGGGGGCCGCGGGGCTG